CTGACATGTAAGATATACTGATACCAAGTCATCTTGTCCATTCCCCTGCCAGTCCACGGCTGTTGGACTGAGACGTGCTACTGACACCAAGCTATAAATCAGAGCAGTTTCTCTTGAAATGTAGCCGAGCAGCAGCCTAGCGGCACGCAGATCCTCTTAACAAAACTCATCAAGGTGGGTAATGACACCCAAACCCAGATGGCCTTTTGTTGTTGAAGGTTTTGATGTGAACATTTTGTACAGTCCTCTCCAGGAGCTCTTTCTAAACAAGATGCAGCCTCCCAACCCACATAAACACTTGCAGCTATATTGCAGCTCAGGTACCCACCACAGGTAAGGATAGTGCTGATCTGTGCAGGGGGCACACAGCCAACACCTCTTCACCACTGTAAGAGTCATGGAAACATGCATCATGTTTGTTGGTGCTGCCCTGCTCCACAGAGAGGCAGTGTTCTGGACTCTGATCAGATGAAAGTGGTGCAGCGCTGGGAGGAAAGGAAGGGGAGAAGGGTTGTCATGCTTCTTGCCTTGAGAAGAGCACAAGGCAAGGGGAATTCAGGGTTTTGGAGTACTAAGAGAGAAGGTTAATTCCAGAACAGAAGAAAAAATAACAAAGGCACTGCAAGTAAATCCCAATAAAATCTGAGGTACTTCAGCATGGGACTGAGTCTGCCTGGTATTGCATCCCTCAGGAAAGTGGCATGTGCCTCTGTTGAGGAATGACCCTCTCCTTGCTGCACTTTCCATGCAGTGATCCTGTGTTACTCCATCTTCTCCCAGCCAGCCACAGGAAGTTCCCCATCTTCACAATAACCAAAGCCCTTCTGTTCTTCAGTGTCACTGCTATGAAGTTAGCACCACTGTAAATAAGAAGTTAAATTTAGCACAGCATGAGCTCAATGTCCAGGGGGTGAATAACCCCTATTCATTCATCTGGCACTCTTCATTTCTGCACAGATCCCCTTTTCCATTAAGTTGTTTGTTTACATATTAGTTTGCTAGCCTATACAAACTCCCAAAGCGTAACATCTCTTTTACATAAGAGTCATGGGGGAGGGCAGATAAACATACAAGTGCCTCAGGGTGTTCACTCATGCCCAGTAGAAATGTATAGTGTAGTTATCTCAGAGTCAAAGTAAACACACTGGCCTACAAATGGCATGAGATTTAAAGCATCCCAGCAGACAGAAGAAAAATATTTCTTCAATAAATATAATCAATTAATTAATAGATAACATGATGGTCCAAATCTGTCATAAAACATTCTGTCTATCAGTTGCTGATGGAATTCTTGTTTACTTAATACCAAATTTGTGGGAATTACAAAATGCTGGGTTAGCACAGAAATATGTCAGTGGTATAAAGTATGACCTTTGCTAAGGGCTACCACCTCCTGCACTGAAGAAAATTGTAGGTACTGGTTTTAAGGGCAGCTTTGAACTTCTCAGATATTACCCTTTTCACAGTTACCTCTGTACCATAATATGGAGAGATGCCTCTAGGGAACGCTCTTGGCTACACACTGAAAGACTGTATAAAAAAGGCAGTTTCTAAAGATTTTTCAGTGAATTAGTGCATAATTTCTCTCCCAAGACTGAGAAACTTGCAAAATATCATGACATCCATTACATCATTCTCTGTCTTTGGTGGAGTTGGTAAATTAACAGGATTTTTTCTCTTTTTTTTTACTTCTTGTTAATAAGAAAAATATCCTAGTCCTGTATTTGAATACCACTGGAAGCCTCAGACTTCTTTATGAAATATGAAAAGCTATTTCACATTACTTCAGATCTCCATACCAGCAGCAGAGAGGGGCAGCAACTCCGACATCACTGTAAACTTCCTAAAGGCCTCTTATGACCTCAAATTTCCTTTGAGGATGTGAGATGTCATTACATCCAGCTGAGGATGAGAAATTTTAAACTGACTGGAAATCGTTCAGTGTTTTGAAAGATGAGGAATTTGCATAGAAGGGTGACTGAAATCTCTTTCACCCTCCACACGAAGCATGTTTCCTCACACTACCTGTTCCTATACACACATACACAAACATAAGGATATGCATTCACAAAATCACAAATAAAAGCCAAGGAAAATTAAATTATCTATTATATGCTTCTGCTCTCTCCAGTCACGTTACTCTCATTGCTTCATGCAGGATAGCTGATACTACCACTGAATTACCCAAAATACTCAGGGTGACTCATGGCACTGAGTCCACTTGTGCTGTCTGGTTTAGGTGACCTTAGAGGGGGTTAGGAGGGAGGGAAGCCTGGCAGAGACTGTACTGCTGAAGACAACAGGTTCTATCATGGGATCAAACTGTAAACCAGGCTAAAAAAATGTTTCTCTACAGACTCAAAAACCACTTCATTTTCTGATGGGAAATGAGGGTACCACTTCTCCTTGTGCCTTGAAAAAACTTGGCATGTAACAGTCAACCCTTCTAATATGATTCAATATGATTGAAAGGGTAAAGTAACTCTTCTCCTAGTTAACTATTGACTTTCTCAGTGAGGACAAAATTTACAGAACACTTTTTTTCTAGGATTTCTAGTAAGAATATTTGCAGAAAACACTTTATAACGTATTTGGAAAAAGAAAAAAAGGAAGACTACTTCATGGTTTGCCTGGCTAATTGTAGTCAGAAAGTTTGGGTTTATTCTCCGTTTCTGATTGTTAAATATCTGCAATTAATTTTAAAATATTTAGAATTCCCATAGGCTTAGTGAGTGAGTTCATGTTTGAGAATCACTTGCAGAATATACCTTTTCAATAAACCCGTCAGTAGGAAACTCATCTCAACTGTTTTCTGTAGAGAACAAACTCAATTGCCTTTTGATTTTATATCACATTTTAATTCCCTGCACATCTAGGTGTGAGATCAGAATCCAGGCACAAATATCAGCAGATATTGGGAGGGAAGCATATGTCATTCCCACCTATGTGAGACATCTTTCACATTGGGAAAGTAGTCAAGGGGCTCCAACTCACATTGCTGTAAAAATGTCCTCCTTTCCCTTTCTCCCTTGATCAGGCTTAACGTGTTCTCAGAATGTGAAGTCTCTTAATGTGTTCCTACACAGTTTAACCCATCAAAACAATATGCCTTTGAGCACACAGAAGTTGACTTATTACTGCAATTGTCTGACATACAACAACTGTGATATTAAAGCTATAATATGAATATTTTAATAAAATTAAATGCATCCATTTTCAGAAGACAAAACAAAGCAACACAAAACCATGCTGAAGGAGGTAGAAAACAGAGAGAATAGAATTAGTATTATAATTTTTGATACCTCTTTATTTTATAAAATATTGCACACATGAGTTACACAAGTTGAGATGAGAAATGTTCATCTCTGCTAGGGATGTCTTTCAAAGCAGTTATTCATAAAATGTATAACATACAATTACAGAATAGTAACTAGTATGTACCCTTGGGGAAATGAGACAAGCTGTATATGTGTATGTGTATGTGCTGCAAATGCTCTAGGCAGCACACTTGCAGAGGGAATGGGTACCTCAAATGGGCTGCAAATCCTCTTCTTCTCGGGGTTCTCTTCAAGTGCCACTGACTGCAAGGCTCCCTCTGGCATCACTGGGAATGGGAACCAAAGCACCAAAAATGTTCATTTTAAATTAGTATATTGGCATGGCCCTTGCACAAGAGTAACATGAAAATTCATGAAGCATTTCATATTTTTTCGGCCAGTCCTAGCAGGGCTAGATGTAGACAAGTGCTCTACGCTGCAGCACAAACATGTTCAAGAATTAACACAAAAATGTCCATATTTGGTTCATCTTCTTTATCTGCATGAATTATAAATCTAAATTATAGAAGCAAAATATTTTTGCTTCCAAACAACTCCTTGAGTAACAAATTTTCCTTTCTCTTCTACTCTCCCATAACCTCTTTGTTTACTCCCATTCAAAATTATTTGTGTTATGCGATAGTGGTACAGAAAGTCTGGAAGAATCCAGAGTAGCACACTGTATAACACAGAATGAAGACAGCAGAAGTCTTAAAAAAAGGAGGAGAAAAGATATTTGTGAAAGAGGGCATACCAAGAAAGCAGTTCAACCTTCAGCTTTTAGCAAGCTAAAAAATATACAGCGGGAGGAAACAGTAAAATCCAGCTACGCGCCAAGGTAGCAGAAGTTCTGCCTACCATTTAATCCTCAAAGGACACCACCATTTAGGTGCTAAGCCCTCCTGCTGGATTGGTACGCAGAAACAGTTACCATCCTTGGAGAGCATGTTGCCAAGAGCCTCTCAGACTCTGTCTTGAAATGATCTCTTTCCTCTTGCAACGCAGGGAGTATTTTCCATCCTGAGCTGCAGTTACTGACTATCACACACTTCTTTGCCTGCTTATAATGCAAAGGCTGGAATGCTGGACAAGGAAAATCAAATTTTCCACTGTTGTTCTGAATATGGGGTCACTGAGATAAGGGTTTGGGCTTAGGACAATGTGATGAAAAGGACTATCCTTCCACATTTATGTGAGTCCTTTTTTTACAAAGAAGGTGAGGGAAGCTTCCAAGCATGTGACATTACAGAATCTAACAAGAAGACAGCTATGATTGTGGTTTCAAAGTCATCTCACTGGGAGAAATGGAGAGTGAATGACTGAAGTCAGCACTGGGATTGTAGAAGGCAGAAAGGCAGGCTGTCCTCCATACTGCAGAAGGCTGTGTTTGTATACATTAGCATGTGGTGCAAGTTTTGCAACCTGTTACCATGCCCTTTGCTTAGTGCAAGAATCATTCCAGATCAGGAGGAGGTCCTAGGTACTCGGACTCACATCATGACCCACACACAAGATCTGACCCTGCCCTCTCTAAAGACAGTGACAGAATGCCTGCTCGCCTCAAGCACTGAAAGGATCTCTAATGTGCACCCTTCCTTACAGAGATGGAGCAGATGCTGGGCTGCAAACTAGGTCTCAGCTCAGCAGGTAAAACCTGTACTCAGAGGAATACAATTTTCTCTGGCACTAAAGCATGAATTACAATGTGGAGGACTTTTAGCAAAGAAACAACATTTGGTGTTTAGAGGTTGGCTGCAGACTATATGTAACTGAGGCAGTCTCATCTTTGCCCTGCAGATGAACAGTCTGTAAAACTTATTGGGTGGAGTGTGAACTCCCACTTTTTCGACCTTCTCCTAACTGGCTGGTTGTCTCTGAAGACCACTAATGGCAGATATCCACCTTCCTTATTTCTGTGCCTCTAAGATGTAGCACAGGGAAGGGTGGCCAGCAAACATTGCAGTGCTGCTGTCAGGAAAGGAAAACCACAAATAGGAGGCAAAGATTGAAAAGGAAAAGTAGAGAAATAATTAACATAATCTGCCACATTTCTGCAAGAGGACCTGCATTGCTCCCTGCTTTTTGCACAGTGACGACCATACTGGATGTAGAGGCAAATAAATACACATCAGACACATATGAGGTGCAGGACCAGGTCTTTGGGATGAATTTCTCCCTTAGCATCAAATTGCCTCATTGCTGTAGAGGAAGGCAGGAAAGCTGGGATGCAATGCTTAAGGAAAGCTTTTGGGCGAGACCTTAACAAAGATGAAATGAACCTCACTGTGGATTCCCACTTTTGAAAATGGAAGGCTTCATGCTTGACAGGAGTTTGCCCATCTGTGTAATATGAGATGCAGGTGGCTGTCAGTGGTTCTGCAGGCTCCTGTTTCAACTCTATGAGTGCTATTGTCATGCAAGAAGGTGAAAGCTAAAAGGAAGAAGAAAGGGGCCTATGGCTTCAGAAACATCCTTTTTCTGGAAAAGGATAAGTATGCAAAAACAAAATAATAAACAGTATGCAAAAATAAAATAATAAACATATCCCCAAAATAAGATTGAATTCTGCAATCTTTTTTTAAACCATACTTGAAAACATATGAGGAAGGGAAGAAAAAGGCAAAAGCCAAGAGCATAAATGCAGAAAGATGTGGACAGACCCGTTAGGAAGGGAAGTGTCACCATTGAAACATTGGTTGGCTTTCCCTGGGGAACTCTGTGCTCCTGGAAATGCTTAATATAGGTACACCTTCACCAACGTAAGGAGTCTTGGCTTGGTGGCCAGAGGTCAGCCCTGTTGTTTTGGAGGTACAGTCCCACCCAGGGAAGTGCTTAAGGGGAAGCAGTCCACCTCTTGCTTGGTAGAGGAACAAGGTGTTTCTTTTCCCCTGAAGTGGGATTTGTGTGAAGCCACCATCACTAAGGAGCTCATGGGCTGGTCCAAGTCACCTGGATAGGTTGATACAGGAGACAAGGAAGGAAGTGCAAGAAAACACACCCCTCAGACCGACATGTTGGCCACAGCCCTCTCGTACATGCGCTCCAAGATGCGGTGGATGCTAGCGAAGCCCGGCCGGTCAGCAGGCAGCTTGCTCCAGCAGAGACGCATCAGGTTGTAGAGCTCCAGGGGACAATTGTCTGGGCAGGAGAGGATGTTCCCATCCCTCACGTAGTAGATGACCTCTTCATGAGCCATCCCATAGTAGGGCTGCATGCCATAGGAGAAGATCTCCCACAGCACCACTCCATAGGCCCACACATCAGACTCTGTGGTGTAGCGGTTGTAGAAAATGGACTCGGGGGGCATCCAGCGGATGGGGATGGCATCATTCTCGTTTGCTTTGTAATAGTCAGCTGAATACATGTTCCTTGAAAGACCAAAATCGGCAATTTTGACCACCATGTTCTCCCCCACCAGACAGTTCCTGGTGGCCAAATCTCGGTGGACAAATTTGCGCTCAGAGAGGTATGCCATGCCAGCAGCAACCTGCTTGGCAATGCAGAGTTGGCTGGTGCAGCACAGTGCCAAGGGGTTAGGGAGGCGAATCCTTGTGTCCAGACTGCTGTGTACCAGGCTGCAGAGGTTGCGGGGCGAGCGGTCACGCAGGTACTCATTTAGATCCCCATAGGCCATGTACTCGAACAGCAGGCACATCGGTTTCCCAACAGCACACACACCTGGAAGAGGACAGATACACCACACAGGTCACTTGGGTAGCAAAGAGAGTTCTGCTGTGCAAAACCCAAAAGTTCCAAAAATGCTTACACAAAAGGGAGACTTTCAACCGTGCATGAAGAGCCAGGGAGAAAGGTAACCATGCAAATACCATCAAGTCTGCATGCATCCATCATGCATGCTCTCTCTTTGAATCTCCTTCACAAGGGGTCTAACACTGAGCTCTGTGGGAAATGTTAACCAGTCATGCACTTGACTGATTTGTCTGGACATCCCAGGAAAAATGTATACTTTTGGAGCTGTGTTTAATTAAGAGCCAGATCGTGCTTAAGTTAGCATTAACAGAAATATTGCCTCTTCCCAGGAGCAACTGAAAGGGCATATTTTCAGGAAATAACCTTTATAGTTCTGATCATGTTATTTTTTAATTCTTTTATTTTTTGTCATTTTTGTACTAATTATTATAATTATTACTAACACATAGAGGCAATACATATGCAGAAACACTTCAAAAGTAATCACAAGAGGCATGTTCAAGGGTTCAGTGGGATACTTGAAATGCAAAGAGACTTCCACTACAACCTCTTCTGGATTTGTCTCTTTTTTTTAAATAGCTCATGGAAAAAATGTCAGTTGCAGAAATTACTTTTGGCATGAAAGAGACTCAAAAATTAAAGAAAGACAAAGAAAAAGCAGACATCAGAAAGGAGACATTTTCCATATCTGATAGATGCAGAACCTAGTTCCACTGAAGGGCACATGCTTGGTTTTACATGAGCTTTATTGGTAGGCCAGCATCAGTAGAAGACCACAATTCCACCAGCATTACTGAGAATATAGTGATATGGTAAAAATATTTGTGTGCCTCTCATTAAATTGCTAATGAGCAAAAGCCAATATTTAAAATGTATGTGTTTTGCTTTCTTAAGGCCATCATTTAGCAACCGGTGATTCAACTTACTTTGAAATTTGAAATTCTGGCTGATAGCATAACATTTATATCTTTGAAGATAAATAGATATCTATTCCCAATGTGATGAAATCAGGATCTGACAAGCATGAGAAGTATATGTGAGAGATTTACCATCTAAGCGGTCTTCAACAATGTGGCTGTTTTCTCCACAGCCCCATGATGTGATACTAGTTTGTTCCTGTACCTTTGCCCTTTCCTGACCTAAAACGTGTTGAGAATAAACATAAAGTTTATTTGAGTTTGAGGCATTTCCTGACTTTTCATTTCTGTAGTCTAACTACCTGTATCAACCCAGATTTCCCAAAACTGTGGTTTGTCTATTTCAAATCTAATTCAAAAATACTGAAATAAACTAAGATCTCAGCTACCTGCTCACAGGTATGAGATCTGCATACAACAACTTAGAGCAGGATTGCCAGGTGAAGGCGGCCAGCAGCATCTACTTCCAACAAAAATGGCAATTTACTGAAAGAAAATTTGGTCCACAGCTTTCTTCACAGAAGAATGCCATATTAGCCAAGCTGCAACATAAAGACTTTCAAAAAGAAAACAGTAAAGCAAGGTTCCTTTCAGATGAGAAGGGAAAGGGAAGGGGAAGGGAAGAGGAAGGGGAAAGGAAGAGAAAAGGACCATTTTTGTGGTTGGCTTTTTTTGTTCATTTGTTTAATTCTGGTTTTTGAATGCTGGTGAATGTTCAGACATCACAATAGTATGGGACCCATAAAGCTAACAAGACTGATGCCTATGTTTTTTAAGTACCCATAAAATAAATCACAGCTCCAGGAAGTTCATGTCTTCACTGTAAGACATCTGTGTCAACGTTATTGAAGTGGAAGCAGAGCTAGGCAGCAAGATTGCCAACAGAATACTAAATGCAGCATGAGGAGGATTTAATGTGATGCACCGTCCTGTTAAGACAACAGCATCAGACCCACATTTCGAGCCTCCTTTTGATGGACAATTTAGCAGAGCATACAATGGCACATGGAAAACGTCAGGTGTTTGCAGGAAAAATTTTATCTTTCAAAAATAGACCAGCACAACCACTTGCATTTAGCTCCAGTCACTTGCACCCCCAATAGCCCCACAGAAGATTTGCAGAAGGTGGCACCCTGTACATGGGTGCCTCACTGAGATACCTAAAAGCTTGACAATATTTGGATTGTCAAACTCTGCCATGAGAGCTGCTTCCCTCTGAAAGTCAGCCTGCATGTCTGCGGATGCTTCCTCCTTCAGCATTTTCACTGCCACCATTGTGAAAGGCTCATATGGCAGCAACCCTGGGGCCCTGCAAGGAGAGGAAAAAGAGGAAAGCATCAGCGGTGAATGCATACACTCTAAATGTAGGTTCTGTTTCTGATGCAAAAGGATGCACTGACAGGAAAAAAAAAAAAGAAAAATTAAAAAAAAAAATTTAAAAAATATGGGGGAAAGCCCCAGTACCAACTAAAGGAATATTAAATACCATCCTCACCATTTGGGCATGTCTGCATTGCATATTAGAGAGATGTATAATTTGGTTCAATGGGGACTAAATCCAGTATAACTTTTTTTATTACTATTCTTTCTGCTTACAGACTCATTACTGTAACTGGTAAAGACATAAATAAGTAACAGGTTGTTAAGCAACAACCTCTCCCTAGGTTGGAGGTCACACCCTAAAGTTTATAGAGGACAGGATGGACTCTTCAGTCCAGACAATTCACTTTTGGGGTGTAATGACTGAACTTATCAGAGTTAAAAATAAACCTATTTTATATGAAATTGATGAAATAGTCCCCTTTCTCCTACCTGGCACAATGGTGACTTTGGTACATCCATTTACTATTAAAGTGAAAGTACCAATTACAGTAAGTATGTCCCCCTGGTTTTGTAAGGAAAAAAGCCTTTTGTCAATATTTTCTGTGTACGTGTGTGTGTGTGTGTGTGTGTGTGTGTGTGTGTGTGTGTGTGTGTGGCATATCTGTGCCTGTAATTCAACAAGTTATAAACCCATTAGCTAATTTCAGCTGAACTTATTGTGGTGTAGCTGAGGTTTATAGAAAATAGTTATACTTCAGCAAGTTCTGTGGAAACGTGACAGGACAGAAGGGACAAAACATACCTGTGCCCTGTCTGAAGAACAAGGTAATCTGCAAATACACACATGTTGTGACACTGGTGAATCTTCAGCTAGAACTTATAGACAAATCCACAGGAAACAGAGCTTCCTGACTTAGAGCAATCACAGACTTGTTTTCTTACCCGCAAGTCACTGCACCCTCAAGATTAGTTAGATGGGCTTGCCAAAGATTTAGGTGTAGCTGTTGCCAAAGAAGAGTAACTTTCTACTCTTCAAACATGCATCAAACCTCAAATGTACATTTTGTTGCCCACGCAAACTCTTCCCAGGGGCCATGCAGATAAAGCACATTCCTTGTAGGTGGCCAGCCAGAGCCCATGGAAAATAATGTCCATTTATGTGTCGTGTTACTAGACCATTGTTCAAATGCCAGGTTATTTTACTGCTCAGTAGCACCAAGAGGAGACTCCAATTTCCAAAGCAAACTTCCAGTTTTGTTGTCATTTACTTCAGACATACGGCATTTGCAACAGTTGCACTTGGATGTTGGAAATGTCAAATGTCAGTGGATGGCAGGGGGTCCTTGAGAAAGGAATCTCACAGGTGGCTGATCACAGCTGAAAAACTCAGGCAAGGAGGTCTGGCATGCCAGAGCAGAGGATCAGACTCCACAGTTGTCTGCTACTGCCTCCATTGTGGTGAAATGTCTTCCTTTTTTTTCCCCCATGCTGGTAGCAGTGTCCAGTCTAGTAAAAGTACCAGCACCTACCAGCTGCTAAAGTCAGCACTCAAGTCAGCAGCAACAGCCTGAAGAAACCAGTAGAGCATTCAAAAGTAAAAATAGGAGGGCTTTTATCTCTTCCAAACAGTCTCATAGATTACCACTCATCATTGACTAGCAGAGACCCAGTGCAGTGCCAAAGCAGGGGCAGGTTTGGTTTTGCATGCTTTGAACAGAGAAACTCGCCCCAGGCTGATGTACGCCCAACCAACTTCACTGAATCCTGTAGTGTAAACTAACCTAAATATAACTGAGATTAAGCTGCACAAAGTCTTTAATTTGGCCTTCGGGCAACAGCAAAAAATTTCACCCTTGGTATCTCATGCTAATTCAACCCAGTTCTTAGCAGACCTGGGAAACTCACACTGATCTGGCAGAGACAGAGACTGTCTGAACTCTTGGCAGACCACTATCAAAGTTGGCCCATTTGGTGCCCAAAAGTCAGTCTTTGCACAAGGGACACATCTGCAGGGGAGCAAGGGGAAGCTGCTGCCTCTGCACTGGGAGAATTCAGGTGGAGGTCCAAAAAGTGAAGTGTTTTCTAAAAAATAGGCAAATTCTCCTCTAGAGAAAAAATAGATTAATTTTCTTCTAGAACTAGGGAAGCAACCAAAGAAATTATCTTGGGTTTCCTTTCTTGCAGTTAATTAAATTCTGAGGAGAAATGTCCATTGTTTGTGGACAGGATGGATAGCCACAGTCCTTGATTGTTTCACCATCAAAGGATTTATGCACCAGTGGCAGCATTTGGTTTTTAGGTACCTACCGTTCAAAGAACTAACCAGTGGTGCAGTTAGGAATTTCACCCTGAGCCTATCTACAGAGAGTGCCTGACTTAAGTTCCAAGTCAGGTTTTCTTTCCAGAGCATGAAAAGAAATGAGTAGTTTGAACCTGAATTTGAGATTGGCTCCTGTTCACATCTTCCTTGGCAGCACAGCTGGGTAACTTCTGTTAGATCATTAAATGAGGCAATTAACATCTACTGAGTCTGGTGGAGACCCACCTTTTCCCTATCCTTTGGTTAAATTTGTATGTGGGCAGCAGAGTGCTCTGAACTGGCAGGGGCTCATTTTGTCATTCTTTTTTTCTGTTTTTTGGTTGGGTTTTTTTGTTTGATTGGGGTTTGTTGTTGGTTTTGGAGGGGGCTTTTATTTGTTTTTATTGATGTTGTTTTCTTGGGGTTTTTGGTTGGTTGGTTGGTTAGGGTTTTGTGAGGGGTTTTTGTTGTTTGTTTTGATGGGGTTTTTGGTGTTTTGTTTTGTTTTTTAAATTAACATCCCTACTGTTTTTCAGCTCTATTTGAGACATCAGGTCAAAGTAACACCCTTTACAGATGGAGAGAACACCAGGAGACTTCTGTCAAGAAAATTCAGCCTTAGAGACCTGCTTTGTCTCTTGCAGGAACAACGAGCTATGCCTTTGCAGTGGAGGCCTACTAGCCTACTAGCTCAACATCCAGGCTTTTAGGCAATCCTGGCCTGCAGTGTTAGCCTGGACAATACAGCTCCAGCTCTGGCAGAAAACTTGCATGCTGGTCTGCATTGAACTGGGTAAATCTGGTGCTCTGGTGGCTTGAGCAGCCAGTGTGGTTCTCCCAGATGCAGAGTCCAGGACCCAGTTGGAACTGACCTGAGCTAGGTCCTGAATTTTTTTTTAAGCATGGTTACTTCCTCATCCTTCCCAGTGCGAAGCCATTCCTGGTGAAGACAGCAGCCTTTCAGGAGAAGCTAGTAAATGATAGCCAGACACTTCCTGTCCTAACATGTTGCTTGACCCAGGAGTGAGTAAACACTGAATCAGGACTCACAGCAAGCCAACTGGCAAAGGCATTGCTGGCACTGTGTGCAAAGCTGTGTTTACAGGAGAGGGAGAAACATGAGAGCAGGAGAAGTAAGAGTATTGCTAAACTTAGCTCAAGATGACCATTTAACACACGTAGGAAAGTACATTTTATCCTTCTGAGATGGGAAGGCAACAATTTGAGTTGTGATAGCTTCAGTAACCTGTAAGGATACGCAGCTTATGCTACTGGATCAGCAGTCTGCACTGATTCATCAGAGATGCACAGAAATGCCAGTGGCTTATTATAAAGAATTAAAATAATTATAAGTAATCATAAGGCCTTGGAAAAACTTTGGACAGAAATATTAATAAAAATAAGGAATTTCCTGAGAAGCAATATTTCTGTGGCTCCTTTCTTGAGCCACAGAGAGCAGATGTTTCTCCGGGTATGGTACTCTCCACTTGCAAATGCTGGATAACATCTGATGCTTTATTTTTCACCCCATCTCTTTCTCTCTGTTTCCACTGTCAATAATAAAAAGGTTTAATTAAAAGAAATTGCAGCTCTGGGGCAGATGAAATCCACATAAAAGGTTCCTACACCACTTTAGTATTTGCTTAACCCAGCACTTTTAGCAACATTTGAATGCCCTTTAAGAGGTTCTGCTTGATATCTATGAGAGTCATTTCCAGTCCAGAAAGGTCTGAGCAGCACTTATATCACATTAAAGCTCCCAGTGCAGGTCCAAAGTGGCACTTGGCAGGAAGACTGTCTGCCCTGCTTGCACACCACAGCATGATGAAGACTCTTGTCACACGAACAGGAAGGTGGTGCACCACAGGGCACCCCGAGCATTGTGCTGAGGCTGGAACAAGACATGCCCTGTGCCCCTGCACCGGCTGGCGTGCAGTGCCCCACAGCTGTCGTGTAGTTTCTACAGTTTTGTTCTTGTTTCAAGCTCAGATGCATTCGGCCATCCAGGCTAACAATCAATCACAGGCTAAGCATCTGTGACTTTCCCACTGCATACCCTTTGAACTTTGTTATTTTTAGCTCGCTCTGTATTAAACAAAAGTATGCCTGCATTTCTTCCATTAGAAATAATTTATCCCTTCATTAGAAAAATAAATCCATCACAGCTATTGAAACTTTTTCCCAGCTGCAACACATTTAACCTGAGCATAGCTCATTTCCTAGCAGATACTCTGACAGCATAACTATAAACATTAAAAATATCTACATTATGACTGCTTTTTGCAAGGAGAGGCCTTTGTCTTTGAAGTCAACAGAAGCAGTTTCACAAGGTACATCTTGACCCATGGTGGGATTCTGATATTTCCTTGGATTTTTTTGAGGTCATTGTAGACTAATCCAAATACAGCTACAAAATCAGCCACATCCCCTAGTTGTTAACTGTAAAGGACTGTCCTGAGTAAGCATAAAACTAGACAGTCTCTACACTTGCTTGCAGGAATTTGGAGATGAGACATCATGAGGAAACCAGTCCAAAGATTGTCCTGCAGAAATTATGGATTCTGTCAAGACTGTCAAGACGCCTTCCATCCACCTTAGTCTAGGAAGTATTGGGTTCATCTTTGGGTTTGTCAGTTAAAGATTTTTCACATTTCAAGAAGTGCACGATCTCACCTCCCGTGAGACTTAACAGAACCAGAATTTCAACTAATGCTTCAAATTTAAAACAGGTAACAGTGGCTGCAACTTCCAAAAATGAAAAGTGAATAACTAAAGGGGACACTTTAGAAGACAAGAAGATAAGGGGATTAATTTGTATGTCTCAAACAACAATAGCCAGATGGCTATGGAGCCAACCAAGGTGCCATATGGAGCTAGGACAGCATTTTTCTGGGACAAACATCCTTGTTCTGGCTCCTGGAGATAAACACAACAGCATACAGCACAGGCATAGGAATTAGGTCAAGAAGCAGACATGGACTGTAGGGTAGGATTAAGACCACCCAAGGCCCCCAAAGATCTCTGACCCATTTCCAAAAGAAAGAAGAAGAAGAAAGAAGAAGAAGAAAGAAGTTCTGGAAGAACGGACTGTGCATGCTAACTCATTTGCATAAAAGTAAGAAATTTATCTCCAGGGCAGGGAAACTTATCTATAAAAAGGTAACCCTAGAAAGCCTGTGCGCATGCACCCTAAGACCCTAAACATCCCATCAGCTGAAATGATGCTGGAGCCAGGGCTGGCGATGTCTCTTTCTTCCTTTCTTCCTTTCTTTTCCCCTCTTTAATCCAAATCTCTTTATCTCACTTCCTTTTCACACTATCCCTTTATTCAAAACCCTCTACTGTGTGCTTATATAAAAAATTAGGGACTATAACATACCAATTTCCATGCCAGGTACGTAATTCACTTATAAAAATTTGTAAGCTTTTGTGGACCCTCTGACTTTTGTTGTTCCTTTCAGCCACAAGCATCTACAAATCTTAGGTCTGCCCTTCCCCTTAAGATTGGGACACCACAGACACACACAAAAAAAACCCTATTGGCCTAGGTTGGGTTGGTTTTTAGGGGATTTTTTGGTTTGTTTTGGCTTTGGCACTGAATCAAATTGAAACTCAGTTAGGACTGAACTGTAGCATGACACATTGCCTTCCATGGTAATTACTGTCCAGTGTTGGTGTTTTAATGGAGGTCACCACACACAACTTGCAAATACTGGGAAATGCAAAAATTTCACAATAGGTCACATGTCACAGGCAATACTCTTGGCAAAAACAATGATGATAAATTTAGCTAAACTTTTACACTACACTTTGGTATGTGTGTGAAGCATTACTACTAGAGAATAGAACAAAAGAGAAATTTGTGACAAAAGTTCAACAAATATCAACCAATAGCAGTGGACAACGGAAACAATTATTCAAACCTGGGTGTACCATTTGGTATACATGCATTTGATCTTGGTTTAAGTGAAAGAATAGATGAATGAGTGATTTCCAGTGCCAATTTTTCAGAGGTACCTCCAGATAAAGAGAACTGACACAGAGACTGCTTACCTGGCTTGGAAGACTCTCCCAAATGCTCCTTCCCCAATATCTCTCACATATTCTATATTATTCCTGGGGTACTCCAGGCTAAGCAATTTTGGATTGAGGAGAAGGGGCATGCGTTGGTACATTGGGTTGGGGTGCAGCCGGTCCAGAAGTAGTTCAGAGGGCAGAGTGGTGAGCGTTGGTGTCTCAGACTCTCTGAAACAAGGGAATGGTTTTCGGTCAGTGTGTGCACAGCCTTCAACCAGAACATAATTAGCTGCCTCTCCTCCTGAGCTTATTTTTTCCAGGATGGAAAAAGAAGGTACAGCAGGGCTACTGCAAGAGCCTTGCAGCAATGTGTTATGCCATGTTCCCAGTCACCAGGCCACCTTCAGCTCTGGCACAGGAGTTCGCCAGAACTTGCACTGGGCTGCCACAGGCAAAGAGAGGGCTACTCCCCCCTACCAGGCATTTGCAGGACTTTGCTCTCAGAAACAGGCAAACCCTCTTTCAAAGCATCATTTCTTGCATTTAATTAATTCTCAAGCTTTACCTTTTTTTGGATTTCCACTGCTTTCGGTGGCGGCAGCAAACCAGGGTGACAATGCCGAAGATCACAACCAGAGCAAAGCTGGAGATAATCGATATGATGACAGTCATGGAGTACGTAGGGGAAAAGGGAGGAGAAGGGGGGAGATTTAGAGTCTCTCCATTTGGTTTTCTTGTTCCTAGTGATAACAATGCTGTAATGCAAACAAAATCAGAGGGTTATGCCTCTGCTAGTTTATAGAGCTTTCTCTAAGAGGAATTTATGGAGTTAACCCAATGTCCTGGGAATCACTGACACTACAGATACATCCAAATGACTGCATGAGAGAACCATACTATGGAAACCTGGTTTGCAGGAAGCAAAACACACTTGTGCTTGCCAAATGTGAAAATCCAGGATCTGGTAAAGAGCAAGACGTGGTTCTCATTCAACTGGGAACACAGTTTTGGTATGGAATGATTGCAAGAGTTACAGATGGGAGATCACATTTGATGGCCTCAACAGTATTCAAATATAGTTATGTCTGCACTGGGAAAGATCAATGGTCTACAATGTGAACCACAATGTATCATGTGTCCTAAAAGGAATCTGCAGGGAGGAGTGTAAGACCAAGTAAGTACACAGTGATACTTTCCTGAAATATCCTCTTGCCTCTAACAATTTACATCTCAGCGTCTTTATGGGGCAAATATGGAAAACACACTTGGCTTTATCATTAGAGGAAAAAATCACATAACTACCTGCTGAGAATTTTCTGAGACATTCTAGAAAATGGTACTCTGTATATGCAGTGATTGAGAACAGAAAGAAATTTAAACTCTTCTTTTTAAGGCCAGCTAAACTGAAAATTACCTGTGTTCACTTATGTCCATGAAACCCCTGTTCTCTGTGCAAGAAGAATTGTCTTATTTCCAAGCACTGAGATCCAGAAACTGTGAATCTCTGATAAAATATTTTTCAAAAATTATTCTGTTGTTTGGACAAGAAATAACAGAAACACTTAGTTTCAACATCAGAGAGAAAAGATGTTTCCATCTTTTCAAAAAAAATTTTTTTTAGTTGAAATTGGTTTTTATATTATTGAAAAAAAATCACTCAAATTAAAACAACTTTGAAAAATAGCCCAAAACCCTACCTTCAAAACACAGTGTGGCAAATCCATTTTTTCGGAATACCACAGGAAATTTTATTCCATCCTTTGGCATTTATATAATCTACAGCAAGGTGTTCAATTTGCCTGTCTTCATTTTCCTCTCTTTAGGGGCACATTATACCTTCTGGTCAAAAATGCTCTTTGTGAATCTTTGAGGAGACCCAGAACTAGCTGAATCCAGAAGGAGGAACAGGTCGGTATACTCAGGATGCAAATACCTCGTGTGGCACCAAAACAACCGCAGTGGCAGAAATCGTAGATTTGAGTTGCCTACCATCTCCACAGGGAGGCACACTGCAGTATTCCCAGGTCACGGCTGGGTCCTTTGTGTAGCACCAGGGACGTTCATTCTCACCTCCTGGGTTGCGACAGTAATTCTCAGCATCAGACAGCTCAGGAAAAACCTGAGGAGTCCTCCTGTGCAAGTGGGGAGCCTTGGGGGAGGAAGCAAATTGGATTAGTGTCGAGGACCGAGAATCGGAATGGGAACGATTTCAGAAGTGGAAAAATATGTACAGCAATTGAACGGACTTTATGATGCAGACTTTATAGTTATTATGTATATACACATTGTATGTTTCCCCAGAATTTGCATCTTCCGGGCATGTCCCGGCTTGTTCACCTCCCTGCTCCTCTGTTTCTCTGCCGATTGGCTGGAGAATCTGCAGAGAGGAGACAGCCCCCATTCGCCCTTTCCTTCCCCGGTTCCTCCTGCGCTCCTCCCCTTTTGCCCGTGTCCCTATCCTGGTTTGTTCCCCCGCCTGTCTGTCTCATGCTCCACCCTATGTTCTGGCGTTTTCCCCTCCGGAGCTGATGAAAAACCTCGTGCACTCTGGAATAAAGGATATACCTGCATCCTGCCTTTGTGTCCCGGGCCCGTGCTGTGCCACGGCCCCATCGCCCCTTTAGGACCACGGCAGGTTAGTGTTTAATATATAATTTTTCTGCTGTTATTAATAAGATACAAGCAAATAAAACAAATGAGTGAAGACAGGCAGAACTTTTCTTGAAGTAGCCTGACAGAATGACAGAGAATGCATCTTGGCACAGGAAGGGGAACATGCAGATTGAAATATGATGAGATTGTAAAACACCAGTGAACTCAAGAATGAAGGCAACCTGTCCCCTGCTCAGCCCTTCCACTGAGACTGGGCTGCCTGGCTCTAGGAAACATGTTGGAAAAGCAGACCATGAGCACAGCTCTCAATTTGGTGGATGTCACACTAGTGCGCACCTGGTCACTCCATTTCTGGCAGGGAATGCCGGAGGCCGTGATGTTGGCCCAGCCCTGGTAAAACTGGCCATTGCCACTGTAGCAAGTCCCTGGGAGGGAAAAAACACCAAAAACATTGGGTCAGGACTCACAAGAATAAATTTCATGTCCTTACATTAGAGCATGTGACAATTAGCATCAGATCTAAAGCACATAACAGGACAAGACAACTGCAGGCTCGGCACTGCTTAGCCTCTTGTTTACACTTAAATGGATTTTGAGCTTGATGCATAAGATCAAATCAGGTAAAACTTCAAAGAGGGAACTGGAGCTCTTTCAGATTGAGAAAATAGGCCATATGCCTGTAATGGTTGAGCTGCAACTACCCATGCACAGCACTTCCAAGCAGAAAGTGCAGGCACAACCACACTGAACCCACCCATGCCAAACCAAGGCAGAAGGCAAATTGCAGCACCAGTTCCATGATTCACAGCCTACGCTCTTAGAGGGGGACTACCAATAGGAATATGCCCATGTTCCTCTTGTAGATAGCAGAGGGCTGGGATACATAAAGTCCCATGATGGTATCCCTTCTCCTGCTTCTGCACAGTGCTTGTCCTTTTTGAGTATTTGGAGACAGCCTGTGGTTTCCAGCATATGTGGAAACCATACACTGAAGGCAACTATGATCGGAAAGAATAGTATCAGTATAAAAACAATGTTCTTTCTAATTAAGAATGTGTAGTTCACTTTCCATACACAAGGCTTGTTCTGGCTGCAGAAAAATTAAGCAGAAAATCTTGAGAGGATTTTACTACAGGAATATGGATAAATGTAGACACCACCCGTCTTCATAGGAGAGTTTAATGCATGCTGGCATAATCTACGAACCAGGAGGACAGCATAGGAGATGCAGCCTTACACACTTCAATACACGGTAGATAATCTTTCGTAAACTCAGCTGAGCAGGGGCCAGCATTCTGATTGACAGCATGCATTAGGGTCCGCTGCGTTATTAACCTTGTTAGACAAACTAACAAGCCAGCAAATACTGTTGTCATAATTTTATTTTCTATTATGTTCATAAACGTGCAGCTCAGGAAAAAAAGAAAAGCCAGAGGAAAACTGATGTGTTCCAAAATAATGATTTCTAAGCAAATATTTTTCAGTTTCATGTGAACTCTTTATAAGTTTCCATCCAAATTTGAGGCAAGGCTGTGTGTTTTAATTTATCCCTGCAGATTATCCTCTTTCTCCTGTAGGAGGACCATAGTCCATGCACTATGATGACTATCTGCTCTTTTCTTGTTGCATCACCCACTGCACTCAGGATTGCAGTTATATTTTGTTATAGACCCTTAGCTTTCTGAAGTTTCAACAGGCATCAGGCACTACACATGAGTAGGTAGAAAAATGACCATTAATGAGTTTTTCCAGGTGAGTGAGCTTAAACAAAGGATCAAGTTCTTGTAATCCAAGGCATCCAAACATCCGAGTACAGGAATGACTGTGGACTTCATGAGAGCACTTAAACCCATCACAAATAAAAAGTAAAATGCTCTAAAATGGACTTCTTTGACTGATATGTAAATGACATTTATGGCTCATATCTGCAACAGCCTAGCATCCCCCACATGACATAGCTCAGCAGAGGTGTAAAATCTTGTTAAGCTGCCCTGGTACATACTTGTGTACCTGAGCCCAGAATTTTACATGTCTCACATTCAAAGGAAAGGAAAGCAATGCCTGGAACATACTTCATGATGAACATGAGAAAGATTTCTGCAGATATCTGAAATAAATGTAAATGCGACACCCTAGAGGATCAATGTGGAGAGTTTTAGGGGTAACAGCACCACTAAGGAAGCAACCCTGAGTCCTTTGTACTCTAGAAAATGCAGATGCTTTCATAGGTGGTCTTGCTACAATAAGGACAGGGGAGAATAATAAAGGTGGTCCATCTGAATTACAATGAATAATTTGATGGCAAGCTAGAAGACAGTTTGGTTCATGTTTCCCAAACCCTTGTGCATACAACAGAGGCTCTAAAGTAAAAAAGAGGGGGCAATATTACTAAAATGTTGCTGTTATATCTTCCTGATTCATGATTGAATATTGCACATCTGTGCAATGCCACTCTGAGAAAATGCTGTGAAAGCTGAACAGAAAGGTCATGCCTTTACACAGGACACAGAAGCTATGTCCTGAAGTTGCAAACATCTCAGGGGAGCCTGAAACCACCCCATGAATGCAACACTCATTGGCTGGCACCGCTGTCTTGAGGTCCTTGCATCAGGGAGGGGATGGCTGCACCTGAAGGCTGTAGGCACCAGGCAGCACTGATGGAGAGATTCTTCTTTTTTTCCAGTGGGACAAATTCAGTGGCTGAGCTAGAAACTGCAATTGTGTGTCAGTGGAAGAGCTAGATGTGAGTGTTTCAGCCATGACCAGCAGCAGGGTGAGAGGCTGACAGAAGTCATAGCAGCACCACAGGAAATGTCTTGGTCTCACCATTGGTCATGGGGAGGTCACATGAGAAACAGCCAGACTTCAGAGATAATTTGAGGAAAGTGCTGGGACCTTTTGGGTATTAAGGTCTTGCAAGGCCAGCCTGACCTAGGTAACCTAGTGTGCAGCAGCATATAAGGCTAGGATAACCTCAGCAGCAGTATCAGAAATACCAAATATGGGTAAAGCAGAACTAGAAGCAATTGGTAGAGAGAAAAGGAAACAGCTGAACCTAAAACCACCATTCCACACCCACCGTCTTCAAAAGTTACTAGCCCACATTCTCCCCAGCCTCTGAAGAGCTGGAAATGTGTTTCCCCATGCCTTGGATGTGGCAACTCAGACATTCCCTGGTAATCACCAAAATTCAGCCAACCAGGCCAGAGAAAAACACAAAATGACTGTGCAAACTGCATATTCAATGAAGAATATCATGTCCACCTTTAAAAATACAGAGCCTGGAGCAGTCTACTTACTGGTTATATTCTCCTTCTTAAAATCTGTAAAAAGATAAGACAAGATGTAATGAGGGATTTTCCAGGATGCAGTATAAGTGGATGCTTACTTAGGAGCATGTCACAGGAAAAAGTTCTCACCCTATCAGTGCTTAAACAGCTTGTTTCTTTGCAAAGGCACCTGAATGGCAATTTTGCCATCATTAAGACTGTTTTATGAAATTGTTATGACCTTTTCAATAAGGATCCAGGTTTTATTTACTTGAGAGATTTTTCCCACACCCCAGTTGGGTGAGACAGGCAATCACCCAATGCAGCTGCCACAATTCCATGCACAGGTGCTGACAGGACAGTATCCATTATTGGCTTTTACTTTAGCTGCAAGTTATGGATCTCATCCTTCCCCCCTCCCTTACCAAGGACAGAGGTCTCTGGACAATGGGCAGCATGTGCCACCTTACCAAAGAAAGGGATGTGGGTGCAGGAGCTGGGGTCCTCATGCAGGCTGGGCAGCCTGTTGCATTCAGGAAGAGTGAGCAACATCAGCCCTGGCTTGTATATCCCCTTCTGAGAGTTTTCCTCCATTGAGAGCCATTCCTTAAAGCAGTAGAGATCCTTTACAGCAAGGCAATTCTCTCTACATTATTTTGCAAAAAACAGTGAAATACAGCAGTCAATAGCTTGATAACAATAGCTGCACTTAGCAGAGATGTGCAGGGGTTATGCAGGCTGACAGAAATCCATTAATGGAGTCACACATCTTTAAAGCCAGTCTGTCTGGCTCATAAACCATAAAGGAAACTGTATGAAATGTAAGAGCTTCCTTTAGGAAACAAACAAAACCACATTTTTAATAAAGCAGGGTTATGCTCAAGACACAACAAACATCACAGTCTGTTAGGAGTTCATTCTCATCTTTTCATACAGATTTTTTGATGTTGTCTACTAATAAACATCAGAGAATCATAGAATGAATTGAGTTGGAAGAGACCTCAAAAATAATTTAGTTTCAACCCCCTTGCCATAGGCAGGGACACCTTACACTAGACCAGGTTGCTCTAGCCCCATCCAACCTGGCCTTGGACACTTCCAGGGATGTGGCATCCACAACTTCTCTGGGAAACTTCTTCCAGTGCCTCACCACACTTACAATGAAGAATTTCTACATAATACCTAATCCAAACCTACTCTCTTTCAGTTTGAAGATATTCCCCCTTGTCCTGTCATTACATACTCCTGCAAAGAGCCTCTCACGTCTGAAGTTTGAAATTTTCAGTACATTTTGAAAATCTCACCTGTCTTTTCTAAATTAACATGTCATCTATTAAAAGCAAGAAGTGAGCTGCAATTCTTAGTCATCTTAAATAAAATATTTGCCTGTATTTTTAATGTCACAGAATCACTCATTCAATTATCTTCTTTTCTCCACAGACAACTTTCTCTTTTTTCTCTGTCAGCTGTCTGCAGCAAAACCTTTAGAATGCCTGGCAAAAAAGAGACTTGTCTATGTATTACCTACCACATAATAGTGTGAAACATCCACTGACAAGAAGTGCTTTGGATGTTTAAATGGGCCTTAGGTGACAAACTCTTTGTGAAGAAGGGCAAGGCAAAAATATCTGCTCTAGGGAAGGGAGGGGAGGGGAGGGGAGGGGAGAGGAGAGGAGAGGATACACTGTACTAGAAAGTTTGTGGACTTGTTGCATTGGTCAATTTATCACTCATTTGCTTATTTATGCGGTCATTCTTGAGAGTTTGAGTTGAAAAACCAATTTTGTGCAGAGATTACTTTTACTGAGTTCAGCTGAAGTCCTTCACAGATCCACAACTTTTCCAACCATCCCACAGTGATTCAGAAAGGCAGAAAGGTACTGTTGGGGTTCATGGGGAAGGATTTAGCCAAATTCATCACCTGATGCAATCTGCTTAATTATACAATGGTTTTGGCAAGAGCAGAGGGCCATGACATTTGGAAATGACTATCAACACTCCAAATACTCTAAAGGACCTGAAGGATGCAGGTAATTGGAAATTCTATCAGGGCAACAGCTTTTCTGCAACACTAATGGATGCCCTTCAAGTCTGCAGGCTGAAGCCATCAAAGCTCAGCTGCTCTTTGCTTGGTTTTAGCCAGTGCTGGTTTATTCTTTCCTCACTTCATGGAAACCAGAATGCAGCCAGATGGCATAATTTATCTTTTTTATGTTAAACAACACGTGGAACAGGAATGACCTTCTGAAGTAAAGAAATGCTTAGATAGGGAAATGAGAAAAACTTGCATTTGCTGAGACTTGGGAGATCTGGGTTGAATTAGCTCTGTTCACCCCTGGAGCCTGAGCATCCTTAAATAAGCCCTTTATTCAGTGTTCAATTGCAAAACATGAAAGACCCTTCCTCTGCAATGTTGTCTGCTTCAGCATTAAAGGAATGTTATCTTTACCACAAACCCACCCTGGATGCATGGTAAGGCAGACAGAGGGAGTGAGGGTCGGTCTCCTCTAGCTGTGTTCATACCATTGTTGTAACACTTAATGCTGAGCAGCGAGAGCTTGATGAGATCATATGCAAAGATAACTTCAGATTATTATTAGAAGTTTTATGTCATGTAAATGACACATGGACAAAGAACAGTAATGGCAGAAGAGAACAAGTGTGCCAGTGGTGTTTTTAGGGACCACAAGAGACTATTTAAGAGGAGGTGGAGACACTTAGGCCCAAACAAAGTGAGACATTTTCCAACAGAAGACAGTTTCCTGCAGCCTTGTCACTTCATATCAGCAGTGATTGAAATGGAAATTGAGAATGTTTCTTTTGCTATCACAATAGCAGCCAGTGGCAAAAGGCAGATGTAATCAAGAATTATGAAATGAGACATCACTTTTCTTAAAAACTCTCATTTTAATCAATTTACATCTTAATTTACATGAAGTGAAACTTTTCCCATGTTGCTTTTTTCTGTTTCATTTCATATTGTGTTACTCCCTGATCACTTTTATAAAAGCTTTACTTAGTCTATCAGTTGTTATTCTTGCTAGATAGCTCCCAAACCAAATAAACATTAAAAAAATGACATGGAGTGAGAAAAACTGGTGCAGAGAATAAATAGCAAGACAAAACTACGTGAAAATATGTCAAGGGGAATATGTCCCTCAAAAACTGGGACAATTCTCCCACCTCTGAGATGGTTAAATTTTTACTTATGAAGTATTTCAGCTGAAAACTTGTGTGGTCTAGCCAGTGTCTGCAGAGAGGTATAAAATTGTCAGTAAAAAGTAATCAAGATAATTGGAAAGTAACCAAGACCACGTGAGATGTGTTAAAGAGCCCCCAGACCCCTCTCAGCTGTTCAGAAGTACATATTAGATGTCTGAGTTTTCAAAAGGAGTATTGGGCTAGGGCTTTGGAAGAACTGCTGTCCAGCTGATGCGCTCTGGGAACAAGAATTGGGAAGGATGCTGTTGCAGGGCTTTTGTTATGAAGAAAGCTGCATTAAAATTGGGGGAGGGGGAGGGGAGCAGGGGAGGAGTGGGGAGGAGGGGGTAATAATCAAAAAAAACCCCAGCATTGACTCATGGATTTGAAGAAGGATGATGCTAGGCAAATCCATTAACATTTGGACATATTTGCAAATGCTGTACCTGTTAGCTCAAGATAACTGCAGATTTATGTTGATTTGTGTCACTCTGACTTTAGAACTGCCCCAGAAGAGCAAGCCTTCAGTCACTCACCATGAGTTCTGGTCCTGCAGGGTCAAGTTTGAGTAGCAGTAAATGAAGCAAGACCCTGATCTAACTGAAATGCTTTGTGGAGCACTGTGCGAAATCCTTTGCTGACAAATGTGCTATACATGTGTGGCTGAAATATAAATACTGACACACATCTTGAAAAAAGACACAGAGATCATGTACTTAAGGGCACAGTGACAAAGAGCAGAATAATGAGGTGGCAGGGAGAAGTCTGCCAGTAAAAAGCAAGTTTCAGTACTTGGCTGCATGATCATCTGTGGATACTTGCACATATGCTTTTTTTGTAGCATATATGCCACCACTCTGTTGATGGTGGAATACTGAACATCACAGATACCAAATAGAAAACTGAATGTATAGTTAAGCTGCATATTGGGGTTTTCCTCTGTGCCTTTGTTTTAGGAGACCTTAAAGGAGGAGCAACCAGTAAGGTCTGGATTACAAAAACAATGTGCTGCTATTGCCCTGAAAAGCCCCTACATAACTGGAAAAATGACTGCCAGTAGACCATATCTAGCCCAAGTCCAGCTGGCACTGTGCTTGGCATATCTGCACAGAAGACTCGTATTTTAGTTGAGACAGTAGAGTTGGGGCTGCTCTTACGACAAACAGAGATCTAAATAAAGTTTTAAAATGTGTTTCAAGGAAGATGAGAACAAAGCACTGCACTTCAGGCAAGGATGTCAGTTGCCCAAATGTGAAATGGGTAATGACTAGTCCTCCAGAGGGTGAATATGCTAGCAAAAAAGAAAGCTTCATCCTGGTATATCTGTGAGGGGCTGTCCTCAGCAAGACACACCAAGCAATCATAACTCCATTATAGTCAACAGCAACAGAACTTGCATCTGGCCAGAAAAGCAAGAGCTATGTGCAGAGCTTGGAAAAACCTGGTTTTTCTAGTCAGAGAAATGGGGAAGATTTAAAATCTCACTGCAAAGAGGAAGGGAAGAAACTCGCCTCCATGGCCCTGGTGGGAGGACAAGGAATGAGGGAAGGACTGCTCAGGAGGTTGCATGGGGAGGGAGCAGTGTCTCTGCCTCTGGGATGTGTGCACAAATATCTGTCAGCAGTGGATTAGTGAGAGATGCTTTGGACTCCTCAAGGTCCCTGTCAGCCCAGTTTCAATGGACATTTCTCTGCATATGGAAGGATATAAGAGCCAGACTGGAGTTTTGGTTTAGCAGGTACAATTACAGTGTCAGTATCTCTGATGTCGTCTTCTTTTGTTTCATCTTTGTCTTAGTGCAAAGTGCTAAATGATTGCCTTGGCCAGATTTGTTGCATACTCTGGGGCTGTATTTAGTCAAAGTTCAAAATAAGCAATTACTTTTGATAGTAATAGTAAGTACAGACTGACATAGGAAGATTTAACTGATAACAGTATGTTAATTATTTAAACCAACTGTGTAATTTGAATGAATACTTCTTTTCAACACTGTCCACTAAATGTCTGATATTATACAAAGGTCTGGGCCTGAAATTCAGTCCGTACCCTAGAAATGAGCACAGACAGAGCTGAATCAATCATCTCTGGGTGTACAGAGAAGAGAGCAGAGGGAAAACCTATGCAAACCTAGAGGGCCCAACTTCACTTAATGCTACTGCAAGCCTGGACAGTCCGTCACCACTCCACAGCTGCCTACATATCCCCATGAAATGAAAGTGAAATATGAGCATTTTTTTCTTCATTTACCTGCACACTGGTTTTGGAGCTGGCCCAGCTCCGGAGGGATTGCACTCCTGGAAGATGTAGTTACACAGCAGAGACTCAGCAGCCGGTTGGCAGAATGAACTCACCATTTTCAGTTCAGTCCAGGCAGTGTGCACAAGCAGCTCTTGGGTCTCCTCTGGGTCAGCATAGGAGGAGTTGAAGAAAACAAGAGCATTCTTCGCCAAGATAGCACTGCACACCTCACCTCTGTAAGTGCTGCAGTAACCTGCATCACCCTTGTACAGCTTGCTGTTGAGGACAAGAGCATACACACATAGAGTAAGCTCACAGCCCTAAATAGCTGCAGTCTCACAATGCCTAGGCTCTGTTTCTGAATAAAGTGGAATGTGTAAGGCTAACAGAGGGCAGAGGAGACAGCAGACAGTTATAACCACTAAAACCAGCTAATATATTCCAAAAATGAAACTTCTGCAAAGTACCCTGGTGTGAGCCCTAGTGAGTTCCAGGGATGAGGATCTGGCCAAGTGTTGTGAACTTTATAAAGTGTGCGAAAGACTGAGAAATCAAATACAACCATGGCCTAGCGTGGCCGCTCACCCTCTCCCTAGGCCCAATGGGAAACCATTTTATTTTCCCTGCAGTAGGCGTCAGCCATGCTTCTTTTGCAGCCCTGTTATAACTCAGGGTTTTTTGCTCTGCTGTCTAACAACTGTTTAATTTAGGATGGATTTGATGAGCAAGAGCCAGAAAAGTCCAACCCAACATGTGCCAGGGAATTTTTCACAAGGTCAGACCAAACTCCTGCCTGCCCCTCCTCAGCTCCTGCACCCCTCCTGACGCTGCCTCACTTCCACACGTGTTTAGGTGGGAGACACAGAGAGGAGGAAGGCACAGGTCTCTGAATTTTTCTTCCTGGTTCTTCCCTGCAAGGTCCGTCTTCTCCTCTCCTAACCATATCTCCCACATTGCAAACTCCTGTCACAAAGGATGGAGACAAAGCTATGCGGGAGCAATAAAAAGCACAGTAGGTCCAGCTCATTTGAGGGCCATTTGTTTATCTTTCCTGTGATTTTTGCATCTAGGAGATCCCTCCCTTCTTCCCCACAGCCATGAAAATGGAGCTGCAGGGCAAGGGAGGTGCACAGGTCAGCTGTAGCTGTAGCTGCCACAGTCACCCAACAGCAGCAAGGTCTGTGGGTGAGGAGGTGCCCTCTGCCTAGGCAGCCTGTGGGATGCAGTGTCCTTGGCGTGGGAGGGAAACCTGGGATAACAGACTCCCTGTGTGTGGGGGATGGCCAAATGGGGGATGGCCAAATGGGGGAGGGAGGAGGGCGGGGTGCAGCTGTCCCCACTGCTCATTTGGTCAGTGTAACTGGGGTCAGGGAGTTCAATTCACAACATGCCAACCATTTGGAGCAGTCAACAGAGCTATTTGTATCTTTGCCTTGTATTTCTTTCCCCTGCCGAAATAATCACCCATTGTTAACTCTGGGTTTTCTTGCTGTTTTTTCTTCAGAAAGCTGGAGATACATGGACAAGGAATTACACAGTATGGTCACATTTCTGCTTTTCAAATGCTGCTCTTTACAGATGACACTCCCTGGCCCTGTTTCAGCTACTATACTTTGGGTTCCATTTTTTTTAAATTATATTTTTTTCTATTTTGCGTTGGCTAAAAAATACAGGAAGGCACCAACCCCTTGAGTTATTACCAAAATGGCAGTGATGCTGTGACACCCTGCATCATCCCAGGCTCCATGGACACGCCTTCATGTGACACAGGTGTCCCCCAGCATGCTGCACCAGTCTCACAGCCCAAGACATCACTCTGGTGTACAGCATGTTGCCCCAAAGCAATGCAGTGCCCCCAGCACCCTGATAGAACTGTTCTTGGCATGCAGGTTCATGTTATTTACATTTTCCAGATCATACCCATTGTGCTTAATCTGAAAGTTGCTATGGAGAAGTAGCAACAACGTTTTTCTCACACTGCCTTGTCGCAGAAAAGGAATTTCATGCAGTGAGTGTTGAGAACATCTGTGGGACTGAAGGGCTCAGCATTTGAGCACTGTTCCCATGCCTGTCACACCTTCACAGGTGCAGGTGTAAGGCATAGGTCTGCCATCATCACTGGGGGTCACTTACAGACTTCCTGAATCAATCTAGCAAGCCCCTGTAATGGAGAGGCCTTTGCAGTGGGCCTGTGTCAGCAGACTGGCAAAGCCATCTGCTCAGACTTTCTCAGGCCCTGCTGATTTCTCTGAGGGCCAGAAGCTCCCAGCCCACCTCCCAAGCTAACCCTCTCTTTTCCTTCCAGAGCGATCTGCCACTGCAGCATGTAAAAATATGGTAAAACCAAAAATCCAGCTAAATTGTTCAAAAATTATTACACAGAGGTGCATTTCTCATCACATATAAGTGGCTTTACCATTCATAACTGCTTGGAACAAATTTAAACTTCTCTTGCCCTAACCTGGTCATCACCAAACCAAATTACATTTACTGACTGCGTATATGCAGGAGTTTAACTTGCAGTTAAGCTTTGCCATGTAAATTTATCAGGTCAAGAGAAGTTGTGGATCTGTACCTGTGAACAGAATTTACTACAAAATATTCTGCCCGCTACCATATTTCAAACACCCTTACTGTTGTGTGATCCATTGCTTGCTTGATACAAAATCATCCTTATCTACCTGAGCTCAGTCTCCAATTATGCCTCTATAAAGGAGCTCAGTGTTCCCTTCAGGTGAACCTCATCTGCATGCCTGGCATACAGAAACCCTCTCCCTTTATTTGAGCCAAACTAACCAAATCCCCTTGGTTCATCATTCTTCTTCTCCCTGGTCCAGAAAAAACTTCCACAAAGCCACAGAAAGTCATTCTTACCTCCACTCTGCCGAGAAGCACCAAATCCAGGAATTGTGATGAACCAGGAGAAAGAAGAAATGGAAAAGATATCAGTGACACTTCATTGCTCCCTCTGAGATGTGTAAGTTGGCATTTCCATGATAGGAAATCTATCTGAGAACGTAAACTCTCTGAAAAAGAATGCATCTAAATTCTGTCCATTTTTTTGTACCTTCTTGTGGGGAAGAAATATTGGGCAACACTGGATGCTGTAAAGAGAGAAGGAATGAGGAGGAGGAAGTGCATTGTTGACTGCAGTGCCAGCTGAAGTGGACTGTTGCACCCTAAACTCACATTTTTACCGTGATCCTTTGGGTCCAACATAACTAGCAGGTAGCACCCTCTGTTTAAACTACCCATGTACTCATTACTTCAAGCAGCAGCTGTAACAGGCAAGAGAAACTAGGGCTGGAGATGCAGCACTGTCACATGACGGTGCCCCCAGCTTGCCAGTGCCACAAGGAGCTGTGCCAGCCAAGGACCAGGACACCTCTGCCCTGGGACTCTTGTGAGATGGAACAAGGCTAAGGCAGACTCCTGATCAGGTCTAGGAGGCTGTTCCTCTCCTGCTGAACACAGACAGCCCAGAGGAGAGCAGTGCAACCCCTCCCACCAGCCCAAAGCACCTGCCCTCCCCATTGTATTTGTAGCACCTGCCCTCCCCACTGCATTTGTGGGACAGAGACTTGCCTGGGCTAAAAGCGGAAGTTGAAAAATACAAAAACGTACAGTTGAAAAATACAAAAAGTACAGAAGTTGTGAAATATAGCATCAAGTGCTGAGCCTCTTACAAGGCAGAGCTTGCTGCTAGGTTTCAATGCCCAGTATAAGAAAGAGCATGGTTATTTTCTCAACAAAGAAGCAGCTAAGGCACAGAGAGATGAACAGGTGCATGCCTGGTTAAAAGCAGGACCAGGGCTATCATCCCATATCCTGTGGGATTGCTCTTTCCTCTAACTACATCTCCCTGACTGTCCAAAGAAGGAAGGCACAAGATGCCACCTTTTTCTCTGTGTGCCAAATGTTGTTAGCTAGCTCTGACCTTTGGTATTTCTTCCCTTTGGAACATCCTTTTCACATTTAGGAGATGTCTCTGGAAGCAGAGATTACTCCAGGCAGGGTGGGATACTACTCTGACAGCAACCTCCCTGCTTTCTGGATGCAACCCCCTGTGAAGCTAAACTGTTCAAAGCTATTTTCACTTTGCTGTTAGGTGATACCAATGCTGGGTCATGGCCACGACTTCCTTCACATGGATGAATTTACCAAGTGCACTTCTGGGACACAAAGTACAAGACAGCATCAAACATTCAGGAAATGACAGCTGTGGCAGTTTCCAAAGTGTAAGAATATATGAGGAAATAGCCTGGTGGGGGATGCACTTGTACTCAAATTTAAGCCCCCGCACACCATCAGCTCTCCAAGGCTTTCCCTCTTCCTCCAGAGTACTTTACACCCCTTTCTTCTCTCCCAGCAGAAAAGCTAAGGCTGTGATTGCAAGAGTAAAAAACTAATCATCCCTTCTCTCCCCGCCTACCTGAAATGCTGATGGTTGCTGCTGCTTTTGCGGCTCCAAAAGTTTTGCTGTGTTTGTTCGTGGCAAGGCAAGTGAACAGGCCAGGTCGGGTGACGTACACCTGCAGTCTGGAATCAACCACTCTGTCCTTGACACTTTCCATTATAGACCCTGCAGAAACCTAAAAGAGTGAAAAGCCCCGTGCAGTGATATTTCCAACAAAGGGGAAAACAAGCAAACTAAGGTAAAATCTAAGAGGTACAGCCCTAAGCATTTAAATTAGCAGAGAAAGATGTGGCAAATAGATGGAGGTGGCAGAGAGCTAAAGCCACTGGGGTTACTTTTGTGCTTTTATAGCAGCTGACTTCACAGACAAAAGTAAATGTTAAATGTCTCTCCTATTTCACACTTCCGCAATATTTTTGCAATTATTTGTCAGTTCCAGAGGGCCACAGCCACAATTTGGCTCATGTAATTTATCTGGCTAATTACTTCAGGACTTCTTGTAGTAGATTGTTTGCCTCTTCATGCCTTAGCAAGGAAGGGCACAAGGTGACTTTGTGGACATCCGCTAGACAGAGGAAGAAAAGAAAATAGTTTGGAAGTCATTGATACTGGATTAATATAAACCACTGCCACACTTTCAAAGCAGTCATGAGCAAAGAAAGTGCTATGGCTCCAACGCTTCTGCAAATATCTCATAGATTTTTTATCTCACAACTGGAAATATGGAAGGGGCTGCAAATGTGGTGATTTTGGCCAGATCAGAAATTCCCAGGTAAATGAGCTTGGAGCCTGCTAATTTTGGTCAGTTGGGCTTGATTTCATCAAGTCTTTCTTACTCATATGGAATTCATTAAAGTAGGAGGGCATGGTACAGCAACTTTGCAAGGGCAATAGGAAGGAGCAGCATTGCCTGCTTTAATCTTCATACTGAGAGGAAGCATTGAATGTAATTCAAATGAGATGTGGTTAACTGTGGATCCCAGAGGTGTGACCTGACTCTAAGAACAGTGATAATTGTCTCCCTGGATCCATCTCAGCAAAGCACTCTACCTATGCCTCTAATTGAGAAGACAGAGATATCAATCTGACCTCCCAGAGGGTTGGTAGAAATGTGCTTTCAATGAGATCTTTCAATGAGATGAAATACCCATATGTATTAACAGCTATAATTGAAAAGCAAGAGGGAACATATCAGTGCTTTATCACATCTTTTGTAAGCAGATTGTATCCTCTCTAAAAAGAAAATGCCAAAAAGAAAATATTTGTTTTGCCTCACTCAAGTTCAACTTGGAATTGTGGTAAGAGAATGTGCATGGGAAGAAATCAGTAAATAATAAGACCAGAACAGATTGTAAGTGTTGCACCAGGTATGCCAGTCACTGTGCTAATACAGGGGTCAGTCTTCTCTCACTTCTTGATCTTCAGACCTTGGGTGTACCATGTCTGGCAGCACTGAACTGTGCCTGGTGAGCACAGGGAACTTGGATTTTTTGTTACAGCTTGGACGCAGAAGGAAGGGGTTGCTCAGGTAACTGCAAGCAGTATGTACCATATACCACGGAAAATCACAGGTGAACATGTAGGGTAGTGGTGCCTAGGATTTCCACACTGGCCAGCTGTGGTTTTCTCTACCAGGAACCTCAAGATATCCCCTTTAATTTATTCCCTTCCCTTTTCAAATACATTTCCTGAGATTTTGTTCCCAACAGATCTCTTTTTAGCCCTTAAAATACCCCCTCAGCCACCACCAAACCAGAGACTTCTTCACATCTTCACACCTGCTTCATTTATTCTTTGGAGTGTGAGAAATCAAATTATAAGGCCCATGATGCCCTGTGGTGTGTAGCAAGAGGAAAATGAATTGTATTTCTATTTAGGTAGGCAAGGCAACTGCTGCACAGAGAAGTTTCCATCCTTCTCTTCAAGGGAAGTTCAATAAGCTCAGCAAGAATCCCATTCTTTAAGCCTCAGGACAATTACAGGTCAGTGTTCAGAGACCATAATGCCACAGGAATGCTGCATCTTCTGATGACTCACTGCTGTTGTGAACCAGCCTTCAAATGCACGATCGACGGTCCACCCACTTCCTGATGGCTTTCCCAGAAACAGGCTCTCATTAAGGCCTCCTTGCCATATTTAAAATGAGGCAATTTGGACCACTACCCTCCTGGGACTGGGCTATGCTTTGCAGAGCAGGGATGGGGCAGAGCAGATATGACCAGCCAGGCAATGGCCCCAGGCAGGGGTTGAACATCATGTCACACACAGGGCTCCACACCCAGGGATCCACACACAGAGATCTGGGCAGAGCACAGGTCTGTGCTCTGGAAATACTCTGCCCCTGCCAGGTACCCCAAATCCCTGCAAAAGGTTTCAATCCCAATGGGAAAGAAGTCAAATAAACACTTGCAGTTGTCTCAAATTAACTTCTGTCAAAAACCATGTCAGAAACCACTGAGGATCCACAGTTCTCTGCAGAGGTTGATCTGATCCCTTTGCTGTTCTCCGTACCAACCTTGAGAGAATATTAGCCCTAATCAGACTGGAGCACACCATAAGGCTTAGAGGAGGTAAGGAAGGCAAGACAGCCTGCTGAGTAGCCCAGGGGCCTTAATAACATATTTTAATATGTGGAAAGAAGGAATACAGACCAGGATGGTGATAGACCCCTGAAGTAAGGAACTTGAATAAGAGGATTTATTGGTCCTGTTGGGCAAGCAAATCATGAATGGTCATGGTCAGCCTGTGGTCAGAAGGACAGGAGGTCAGTGAGGAAGGGTGGATGAAAATTGCCAGCCTGTAGTCAGAGGATGCTCCATGTGCCTCCACAGCATCACACCCTGGGGCTCACATGCTTTAAAAAGCTGTTGAAAGACCACAGAGAGTATAAAACACCTTCACCCCACCCATAAGAAGACTAGAGGAAACCCATGGCAGGCTCAGGCTGCAGAGCTGCTGCAACTGTGGTGCACTGCTCACTCCTGCAGAGGCACTATTGGGTATCAAGCAGCTCTTCAGTTCAGCTGAAGTGAAAACATTGCAATAGCCTACACACAGGCATGAAAACCATACAAATTCAAAGCAAGCACCTATTTTAAATGGTCGGGATCATTAAATCATGGAACAATTTCCTGTGAGATATAGTGGGTTTGCATCTCTTGGTGCCTGGCACTGAAGGAGTGTGTCTTTCTTGATGACATGCTTCTAGCCAGAAACAAATCGGTGACATACTTCATTGCATCACCTAGGTTAGTCTAGAAAACTTTAGGTCTATTCTCTTCTGCAAATATGCTGTGGAAATATGGCTATTTTACCTTAAGACAGTTGGCCCTATCTAACTCCTTGGTTTTTGTTATTTTCTCAAATAAGCAATTTTGCCATATTTTTGTTACAACACTAGAAGAACAGAAAGGGAAGATAGCTGCAGAAACACTTAAACCCACAATAAAGTCCTAGAAACCCTGGCTTGGAGGAAGGTTGAAAATGTCTAAACCACCCTGCAGCTTGGGCTTTCCAGATCCTAAAAAATTCACTCATGTGACACCCTGAAGAAGGGGAGAGTGTTTTTCAGAGGAGAAAGCTGGAGCAGAGAGGTGAAGTGGACTCAACTAGATTGCACAACAAGGTGCTAAGTAAGGCAGGAATAGAAACCACTGGTGCTGGCTCCCAGCCCTGCATTTTAATCCCTGGGCTGTGCTTCTGTCTGCTAGAATTGCTCTAGGGCCAAAAGCATGAAAAAGAGGCACTTACAGCTTTCCCATTTTCCAGCCAGGTGACAGTAGGGACTGGAAGGCCAGTTGCCGTGCACCGCAAGGTCACCACAGAACCAAAGGTGATATTTTGGGATTCAGGAGCCTTCAAGATTCTGGCAAACACTGCAAGAGAAGACAAAGGTGCTAGTTGAACAGTAATGTAAAGCTGAGTCTGGTGCTGGCATGGGGGTGCTCCCTCCTCAGTATGTCTTGATATAAGCCACAGCTCCATGAGTAAAAGAAAAGAATAGCACAGGCTTCCCAGTTAGTTTTGAGAGAGGGATGAGAAGGAGAAAGAAAGTGATCAGAGTGGTTACATTACAGACCAAAATTTTACCTCTGGAAATTTCCACATCGATTCAATGTAGAGAAGGTAATGTGCAAGAAAACCAAGGGCAAACTCATCAGTAGCATGCAAACGGAACAGCTTACAGCAAATACCCAAAGTTACCATGCTGCCCTGCCAAGGGTGACCTCCTGCAAAATTTGCTCAAAACCATAGAGGAAGACTATCAACGTGGACGCTCACCATGAAGGTTAAGGGTCAGACAAACTCCTCAGTCTGATCGCAGTGATTAGGACTTGCCATGGAGTGCCGCAAACAGCAACATTTTCATTGCCGAGACAAGCTGCCCTTAGGGAAGAGAGTCTAACATCGAGCTAAGGAGGAATGGTCAGCAAAGACTTAAAGAAGTTGAGATTACAGTAGGAAAGTAGATTTTTAAAGTGACTTCTCATTTCTACTGCTATTGCTTCTTTCATGGCAATAGGATTGCTGGGCAGTTTAAAGACAAGTGCTCTCCTGTCCCCGAGAAATTTTATTTTTTTCTTTGGTGGGGTGGAAATAACAACTGAAGTACTTTTACTGAAAACCTGCTTCAATCCAGAATCACTATTCTGATGGTCTTCACAAGCTGCTGTACTTGGATCACATAGAGGAAAGCAGAGAAGAGATATTTCCCACCTGGAACATTTGAGTTTTGACCCAAAATTTTTAATAGATATGCCATAATGTCTATACAGAAGCAAGTTGAATAACTCTGCCATTTCTTACTCCAATTTCTCATGCTTAGTGAGTAACATCTTCTGGACCGCAGAGCAATGACTACAAGTCTCCAACAGAAACTTTAGTAGGCAGAGGAGTTTCTCTTGGAATTGTCAGACAAGCCTGATATCTTGTTTGCCACTTTTTCTATCAGTATGTTATCAACATATCTGATCAAGTCACAGTCTTCTGTGTCTCTGTCTGCCCTATTCAGAAATAGAACATCTGATCCCAATATTTGGGACAGGAAGGCTTTGCAAAATTTCAGTTGGAATGAAAAAAATATGTGCTTTCCACATAGTCCTTTCACCCAGTTCTGACCTGGGATGGGACTGAGATTTGTTTTAACAAAAAGCCTAAAACCAGCTTTTCCTCATGGATAGGTAACACTGGGAGTTAATTTCAGCATGCAAACCTTTTCTTCTTAGGAGCACAGTCATTCAGTAGGCTCCTGGGCAGGGTTTTTTAGGAAGATTAAATTTAACGTCACTGAAGTGAAAATGGGGGGAGGATAAACATTATACTGAGTTTGTTAATTCTTCTGTGTGTTCCAAGCAGCATCACTCTCTGTGCTCAGTACCACTTGCTTAAAGTCAAAGCAGAGCAGCATCAGGCTTCTGCGCCCTACTACATCTCAGCGAGACAGCAGCTATGAACCTCCATCACTAACGAGTAAAGCTGCAGTCACTGGCCAGGGACTTTTCTGATGAATATTAAGTAAAACGAAACCTTTGCCTGAAGTTTTTCTTCAGGCCATTAGCACCAGATGGTTATGAATTCAGACCCGAGTGTTACAGGCCAAGCTCGTAATTACTTTTATACTTCATTTGGAGAAATACTAAACTTTGGGCCTATCCCCTGGCAGCAGTTACATTCTCATGGCTCCTGCTGAAGCCAGCACGTTAGATCCCAGAGTGGAATGCAGCCCTTGGTGTTTTTCTCATGCTGCTCAGGGTGGTGTTGGGATCCTGCCCACGTGATGACTCTGCTGCTCAGATCCTGCTCAGCTTAGTTAATACAAAGTGACTAACTACCAGCACTCAGTCATGCTGGCACATATGTCCTCCTCCTCCTAGCAGTACTAGCTGCTCTCCCAAGATCTGCTAGGATCTTCAAACCAGGAATAAAAAACGCACACTTCGAAAATGACAATAGCACAGGCAGCATGCAAAGCCACAGTGGGTGCCGTGGTTGGTCCAGCTTGTGCATGGCATCGCGCCTATGGAGAGGCCAGAAAGCTGCAATCCACTTCTCAAGGTCCTCCCACTAGCACTGATCACAGCACTTCCTTTAGTAGCCTAGCACGCTGCTGGCCCGAGAGTTGTCCGCCAGCATAGGGAAGGCAAAGGGCCAGGCCATTCAGTCTTAAAACACCAGATACAGGGATAAAAAATCCAGTAACAGCTGCTAAACATTCACATGTTTCTTGTGGGAAGTACTGCATGGAGGAATGGCTAAATAAAATTTGGCCTATAAGGAAATAAGGTGATTTCCAAAATGTTATTTCCAAAGTGTGGAGAAATTGAAACTGCTGCTATCCCTTGTGCCACCATGTTTACTTTCAGGACCTTCAGAACTGAAGTTACAGATTTAATTCCTTAACATTTCAAGTACTTACATTTGCATATTTTCAAAAAGTATTTTACTTAAAGTTTAGCTATTTAGCTTAAGTACTTAGCTGTAGATACTATTATTGCAATAACCGGGGGGTGGGGGGTTACATTATTTTATTTTTAAATGAGGCAAGGGCTGGACTCCCCAGGTCCCAGCAGTGACAGCTCATTGACATGCCTAGAGGCATATTTTCTAAAGGGAATTTTCTTAATGACTTTGGAAAACAGTATTAAAAATAATAGCATCAACTATTTCTCAGCCACATCACCCATGGGTGAATGATCAATGCACTGCCATTGTTGTCAGACTTAGGTGCTGTGGGAAAGCCAGGGTGGGTTGTGTAAGAGCAGCCAGTGTCACCTTCCACCCATGCAGAATAGGGTAAGACCCCAGGATGAGCTCAGAGTCCATTTTGGCAACTGCATCAGCAAGGAGATCTGTCCTGTGGTTAAATGGCAGAACCCAGCCCCCAAAACTCTGATTTCTATTTTTTTTCTCTCCACTGAATTACACAAAGAAAGAAAGAAGCAAAGGCAAGGAAGAAATACCAAATCTGATGATACAGCTGGTAGGAAGAGGTGGGTGAAAGGTAGGAAGAGGAAGAATCAGGGAATAGTAATAAATGTTTTTAAAATTCACATTATTTGGTGGGCTCAGGACATTGTTTTGTTCTCATTTTTTCCTCAGAGTGAAAATTCCCAACAGTCAGGTGACTTTTAGCTGCATTACTTGTACTCCTTTTCTGGATCCTCCTGAATGTGGATTTTGGCAGGACCTTTGCCTGTTTAGCCACATTGTCACTAGGTTAGCAACATTCAAATCAAGACCCCCAGGCTCTCAGCACTGGATTTACCCAAAGGCATGCCAAAAAGCAGTTAGGAAAGGCAGGCAAAGAGGGCTTTATTTATTTATTTATTTATTTATTTAAGTGGAAAATAAAACAGAGGAGCTGTAAATGAAATCCAGTCAGCTAAAAGCCAAGCCAGCATGTCAAATTTCACTCCCAAGCCCCTTAATAAACGTCCCTTCTTTTACAGCCTGGTAAATGATGTGCTGTGCACTGCAGGGCTTGCTAGGAGGTATCTGTACCGCGGCCAGCTGCTCTTGTTTCTGAGAATTGCATAACATCATCCAGTCCAAACAGTAGGGCTTTAATTCAGTCACAAAATTTTTATATCATGAAAAGATTAAAGCAGCACCCCCTTCCTCTGGCCCCTCTCTCCCCTGCCCCCACTTTGAATGGCTGACTCTTTCCAGGTGACTTTGTTTTCCCATTGCCTTTGACTGAGCTGTGTTTCATTTCCCGGGTTTGGGGCCTGATCCTGCAATCCTGCCAGATGCCTGCCCTCTGTCTGGATAAGGCCTGTTTTTTTGTTAAAGCAGATTGGATTGGGTCAGTCACAGACAGACAGTTGCCTAGGTGGCCTGGGACCATGCTGCTGCTTTTGAGAAAGTACAAAGTGATGCCCAGAGCATCAGGACCATTCAAACACTCGTTTTGGGGCGTGGGGTAGGTTGTATTTATACGAAGCCTACTGTGGCTTTGGTAAACTTCAACTTTCAGAGAACATGAGCAATACTTACTCAGGTACATGAATTAACCCCACCTGTAAACATTCACGTGTGTTCATGTCCAAGAATTTGTTGTTAGTCCTGGCACAGAGTAAAGCATCCCTGATAGTCCAAATCAAGATAAGACCACCAGGAGCTAAACTTGTGTTGGCAACCACCTGGCTACAGTAGGTGCACACTCCCTTCCCATCACAGCCCAAGCCTGCCCTTACCTGTCAGCCAGACCCACTTTGTCCATACTGCCAGATCTGATATCTCAGCCTGCTCCCCTTTCCCCAGTGTTTCTTTATATCATGAAAAATGGCCTTTTGGGTGACTGCAACCAGGTCTTATGTTTTGGGGTTTTTTTCCAGCTAAGCTGCAAAACACGGTGGATAAAGGCAAATTCTCTATGGAAAACACATTTTCCTCTGGTACAGCTGGTGCCATGTTGAGATCCCATGTGTCTACATTGCTGCAGGAATAAGCTATCTATTGTCTCAGAAACTTTCCTGGTAAAAATACCCTGGTAAAGACTTTGCACTGTGCAAAATTCATATGTAAGCACTTAGGAGCAAAAGTGCAAGCATTTTTTTGTTTGTGTTTGCCAGTGTTCCCATAGCTCTTTCATACTTTGAAGCATGAGAGATGGAAATAACTTCTCTACAGAGGATAATGTTCTCTGGGCTGGGACTTTGCTTACTAATCCATAAAAAATCATTTATGCTTGCCACCTATATGCTCTGAAGAACCATGAACTTGTGCCACTGTGATCACAGTCTTTTGCCAATGAAAAGTCCAGTTGTCTAAATCCCCATTCAGATTCATTCATCTCATATCCATTCACACTTCCTGACAAGTCTAAACTAGGCAGTCAAGGAGAGGTAACAAGTAGAGGGGCTACCATTTCCTT